TGTTGCTGTCCCGCAGGTCGCTGAATTTTGGTGGTATTGGTGTGGTGGTGGGCCACGAGCTGACACACGCCTTTGACGACCAAGGTATGGCCAGAGCTGGGTGAGCAGAATGCTGGCAGGGCAGCCAGTGGAGTGACAAGTGACCCGATGTGTTTTTGGCAGGTCGGGAATATGACAAGGATGGCAACTTGCGTCCCTGGTGGAAGAACTCCTCAGTGGAGGCCTTCAAGCGGCAGACAGCATGCATGGTGGAGCAGTACAGCAACTACACCATCAACGGGGAGGCTGTCAATGGCAAGCACACCCTTGGGGAGAACATCGCTGACAATGGGGGGCTCAAGGCTGCCTACCGGGTAGGGCTGTGGGGCTGGGGATGGGTGGCACACTGCGGTTCGGTCTGTGCCGTTCCCTGAGCCCATCAGGCTCCTCAACCTCCAGGCGTATCAAAACTGGCTGAAAAAGAACGGGGAGGAGGAGACTCTCCCGACCCTCGGCCTCACCAACCACCAGCTCTTCTTCGTCGGCTTTGCGCAGGTAGGAAGTGAGGATGGATGCGCGGGTTTTTGGGGTTCCACCTATCCGTGGCTTTCCTTCCATCCATGGAAACATGCACCCCAATGGTTTTGGGAGAGCGTGGCAGCAAAGCTGAGGTCTCCAGAGGTGCCCCAGAGAAGGAGATCAGGGAGTTGCTGGTTAAAGAGCAAGTCAGGCTTGGCAAGAGTGGGGTCCTGCAGCTGCGGACATCAGCAGTCGCACCTCCTGCCCTTTCTCACAGGTGTGGTGCTCGGTTCGCACGCCGGAGAGCTCACATGAAGGGCTCATCACCGACCCGCACAGCCCCTCGCGCTTCCGCGTCATCGGCACCGTCTCCAACTCCTGGGAGTTTGCAGAGCATTTCAGCTGCCCCCTGGGCTCCCCCATGAACCCCCCCAAAAAGTGCGAGGTCTGGTGACGGGGGGGCACCGGGATCTGGCTGCATCGTCGTCTGCCAGCAGCCGAATTTCCCCATCCCTTTGAGAGGCTCAGACCACTTGGCGCAGCGAGCTGCCCAGCTCTCACTGGAGCAGCATCCCCGGTATCGCCCGAGGTCCGATGGATCCACTGTGAAAACTTCTCTTCCCCTCGCTCGTTTGTGAAATGACTTCGATGTGGGGAGGTTCCTGTCCCACGCGCCGAGGTGCTGCCCCGTATTTACACACGCAGCGCTAAGCCTGGCCCTAACAGGAGCCCAGCCCTGAGCCCGGCACCGTCCTCCTCCGAGGCCATAAAGGGAACGCCGCGGCGCCGGCAGGTTGGGCTGTGTGTCTAAATACAGCTGGCAAACCTCCTCTCGCCAAAGATGCGCACACGAGGATGGTAAATATTTTAAGATATATTTTGGGGCAGGGGAGGGTGGAAGGGAAATACATATATTTTTTTCGTGCATTTTGGAATACACTGGAAAAGTTCAGGGAAAATACATTTTAAAGCCTTTTTTTTTTTTTTTTTTTTAAGCAAAGAATTAGTATATTTATTATTTTTTTAATACTCAGTGCAGCTGTAGATACAGCACTCTGTGGTGACAGTTCCCAGCTGGGGAGTCCAGATGGGCTGTGGCTAGCTGGCCCCACAGCCTATGGATCTCCAGAAGGGACCGTTCTCGGAGGATGCTGATGGGGACAGTGGGGACAGGTCCCAGGGATGAGGTCGGTGGAGCCCTGTCAGAGGCTGGATCACAGGAGGGCTCTGTTGGCGTGCTGCAGCTCCTGAGGTTAGCTTTAATTTCTGAGTGCAAAGGAAAAAGTTGATGTGCCAAAGATGTAAGCAGGGTGGGGGTGGTGGTGGTGAAGCTGGTGGGCACCGCTTCTGCCTGTCCCAGGTTCGCAGAGCCCCTGTCCCTGCAGGACAGGGAGCCCAGGAAGCAGCATGGTGAGAGCAGCCACAGGGGCGGCCCTGCATCCCTCCCATCCCCATAACGGGAGGTTGGTCGCAGCCTCCCGGCCCAGTATTGCTCCAGACAAGTGCAGGCAGTCCTCGCTGCCATTTTGCTTGCTGCTGTGCGCTCGTGCCCAGGAGCTGTGAGTCCTGCATGGCCCCTGCTCCATCCCAGCATGGCTGGGACCAGTGCAAAGCTGGCAGGGTGGGTGCAGGGTCCTCTAGGGCTTTTTAATACTCTTTGCATTTTAGAAAAGAAACCACTGACAGTAGCTCAGGTGCCACATGTTGTCTTGCAGCACCTCTAGACAGAAAGCAAAGATGTAGAGGGATTTTTAATATTTATATGTAAAAGGGACATGGGGGGAATTTTTTTTTTTTTTTTGTATCTATTTTTTCACCCTACATGTGGAGCTTATCGTAACTGAAATAAATACTTTTTACTGCTCGTGACTTTTATATTTATTTATTTATTACTTTCTGGTAGCAGGGAGCATCTCGCACCCCACCTGCGTTTTTCTCCCCATCTTCTGTTTTTTCTCTGTTCCCCTTCCTATGCTGGACAGGAACATAAGGGCAGAGCACGCTGTTGGCTCACAGGCCCTCCTTGTTTTCCTGCAGAGCTGGAGACCAGCTGAGCTCTGCTGGAAATGGTGGCACGAACCCGCAGAGGGCGGTGGAGCCGAGGCAATGCCGTGTGCTGCGCCCAGCAGGATGGAGCAGAGATGCTTTGAGCCTGGATGTGGCTCCAGCTGCCGCCTGCTTAAAAGGTGGCAAAATGCAGCAAATTCCACAGTACCTCTGCACTTATCCAGAGCGAGCTTTGCTCAGCACACAGCCTGCTTGTGTCTGCTGTCCTGGTTTGCATGGGGCAGACGGCCCAGCACAGGAGGGGTTTGGAGGACGAGCAGCAGCTTGCACAGGGCTCCCCAGCCTGCTGCTGCTGTTTGCCCACCTTGGGGCTGGCACAGCTCTGGGGTGACTCAGCTGCTCGCGTGCCATTGCCTGCCGTGGGCCTGCCTGATCCTGGGTGGTAAAACCTGGTTGTTTTGCATCAGATGTGCCCTGCGGGGCTGAGCCTGGGCAGGAGGGGGAACTGGCGTAGGGCCTGGCAGGAAAACAGCCCTGTTCTACTAATACCCCAATTTTGACTGGTTCCCCAAGCCACTAAGCCTTTTGAATTGTAGAAGGGCCTGGGTTGAAAAGGACCACAACACTCATCTGGTTCCAACCCCCTGCTATGGGTCACCAACCAGCAGCCCAGGCTGCCCAGAGCCACATCCAGCCTGGCCTCGAATGCCTGCAGGGATGGGGCATCCACAGCCTCCTTGGGCAACCTGTTCCTTTTCCTAAACCCATCAGCAGCTCTGGCACTCTTTGCTGTGAGCACCTCTGGCTCGCTGATGTTGGTAAAGAAGCATGAGAGTGCCGGTGGGGCTGAAAAGCCGTTGTCAGTGCCTAGGTGCTCATCCAGCAGCACAACAGATGGGAGGAAAAGTTCAACAGAGGCGGAGGACGGGCACGGATCCAGCCGGCACTCGTTCAGGCTCGCCAAACTGTGGGTTTCGTTGGCCAAATCATCCCCTGTGGGAGAGACACGGGTTGTCTGCTTTGTCCTGGGAGGAGAAGAAACAACCAACAGGAGCGGTGAAGCGACGGTGCCTGGGAGGCATCAGCTGCGTGGAGCTGCAAGGCAGAGCCAGAGGTTTTGGGACACAACGTGTTGAAAACACTCCTGCTGTTTTTTTTAATTTTTCTTTTTTTTTTTTCTTTCTCACTCCAAACAGCAAAAAGCTGCGATGTATCTAAAGATGCTCGAGCTCTTTCACAGCTGTGTTTACAGGCAGCTATTTCTGTAGAGCACGAGGAGCCATAGATGTCAGTTCGCTCTCAGTGCTGATTTCCTTCCGCACGAAGGGCTGTTCCAGGGGCAGTGCCACGCTCGGAAGGCAGTCAGTGCGTACCAACCCCACGGACCACGTAGCTGTGCCTCCAAACGACCGCAGCCGAATCTTTACGGGGCAGCGCGGCGATGGCGGCGGGGCGGAGGAGCGCAGGATCCCCGCGGCCCCACGCGCCGCGCCCCGCGCAGCCGGGCGGTGCCGAAGTCCCTCCGGAGCCGCTCGGCCGCCGAGCCCCTCCCCGAGAGGCTCCGAAGAGCCCCGAGCGCCGCCCGACTGGGCGGGAATATCTCTTCCGAGCCCGTCCGATGCTTCCCGAACTCCCTCGCGTCCGCGGCCTCCGGAGCGAGCCGAAGTTTCCCGAGAGCGGGGGTCACGGGAGGCGCCGGGCCGAGCGGGACGGGGGGGAAGGCGACGGGAAAGGGAGCGAGGCGCGTGCGCCCGCGAAGGCCTCCGGAAGGAGCCGAGGTTTCCCGAACGCTCCTCGTCGGCGAGCGGTTCCGGAAAGAGCCGAAGGTTGCCGAGCGCCGGCGGGCCGAGCGGCTCCGGAGCGGCCCGAAGGCGCCCGAGCGTCCGTCCTGCCGGACTGCTGGAGGCGGCCGCAGCGCCATGTTTGATGCTCCGCTACTTCAGTGAGGAAAATCCGCCGGCATCGCCCGAGAGCCGCCGCCGCGAAGGGCGCCGCCGCCCCCGGGGAGGGGCACCGAGACCCCCCGCCGCCGGCGGCCCATGAGCATCGCGGCCTGAGCCGCCCCCCCTCCCCCCTCCCCGCCGGCCCCGCGCCGTCCCCTCCCCGCGCCGAGCCCTCGGGAGCCGCGTTGTCACGGAGACCGGCGCCGGTGCCGGCCCGCCGCGCTGCCCCGGCCGCCGCCCCGGCCCCCGGCCCGCTGCCCGCTCCCGCGGCCCGGCTCCCCCCCGGCCCCGGCCCCGCTCCCCGCCGGGGGGTGGTGGCTCCGCTCGGCGATGAGTTTACCGCAGAAGGCGGCTTTGAAACCCGGCGCGGCGGCGGCGGCGGCGG